TTATTTATTAATATTTTTATAATAGAAATATTACATTAAATTTAGATATATAATTATTTTTATCACTTTCAAATATATTATTGATAATATAAAAAATTAAATAAAATTTTTAAAAAATATAACGATTAAAAATAATAATTTTAAACTTAAGAAAAAAAATAAATTTACCCTTTTGAGGGTATTGCTCAATCTTTCACTTTTTTCGCACCTCTCACTCCTTTGGTATTGTTCTTTTAGTTGTTTGATTGTTTTTCTCTCTCCAAGAACCAAGCTGTAGTCGCTTAAGAGGCTAAAGCAGTGGCAAGAGGTATGCACCATGAGAATATTTTGTTGCTCGAACACTATTACCTACAACTCCAACTATGAGAAAATTGTTGTGTCTGTTGATTTGGCTCTTTTAATTTTTTTGTTTCCTATTTTGCCTTATTTGGATGGACAAATATACATATGTTTGGAGAGCCACCGTTTTGGATCATTCCATACAGACTAGACACAATAGACCCATTTGTTAATATGGGAGGTGTGGGTGAAGGAGTTAGGCACCTATAGGTAACCGCTAAACAACATAACAAAAAAATATATGTACTCACCGTGGCCGCACATGTAACAGCGTCACTATGGTCATATGGTCGCACCCATAATGTCACCGTGGTTGCATAATGTCACCGTGGTTGCACCGCATTTGTAGCGTTATTATTACTGCACTCGTAATGTTACCATGATCGTGCGACCGCACTGTTGCACCCGTAGTATCATCCATAACGTCATTATCATTGCACTCATAGTGTCATCATGATCATACGGTCGCACCTGTATCATCATCGTCACTACACCACTCCTGTCATCGTAACTCTCAAATATCTTTGTGATTTTTTTTTTATATTTTTCTAGTTAAAAATCTTTTATTCCCAATCATTTTAGTGATTTACATATGTACCACATTTTCACCTGCTTCTAATACAAGCACTCATAAATCACCTATCTTCATGGGCCACCATAAAATTTGTCATAAACAATACACACAAAGTTGAAAATGAAAAAATGATACATCATAAAATAGAAGAAAAAAAGTGCGAAAATAAAAAAAAAACGCATCAAAATAAAGATATAGTAAAAATTGAAACGATATATAGAGGCAGCGACGTTGACGTAACGACGGTGACTGTGAGGTTGACAATCCACAAGATGTAACGCCCCCGGATTATATAATTTTAGACGCACGCGCACACCGTTTCTCTCCCTCTCCCTCCCAGTGATACTTTGATCCCAATTTCTATATTCCTCAATCCACAGCCACAGGGTTGCTCCTCTTCAAATCTATCTCCAACCCTTTCCTTCCTTCTCTATTCCCTCAATCACCAATCACCATGTCTCCTCCCACACAGGACCATGACGCCCAATCCCATTCCCATCCAAAACCTAACCCTAACCTCCTTTCCCTCTTCCTCAAGCCCATCATCATGCTCCTTCTCACCTCCCTCTTCTTCCTCTTCCTGGGCTTCGCCGCCTTCCTCCTCCTCCACCTCTTCCTCCTCGGCGGCGCCTTCCACCGCCTCCGCTCCCGCCCCTCCGCCGCCCCCAATTCCTCCACCGCCTTCCCCCCTCGCGAAATCAACAAGCTCCCCTGTTTCCGTCTCGCCAAGGGATCCCTTCCCGACTCCCACTGCGTCGTCTGCCTCGACGCCTTCCGCACCGGCCAGTGCTGCCGGAGCCTCCCCGCCTGCGCCCACGTCTTCCATCGCCGCTGCGTCGACACGTGGCTCCTCAAGGTCGCAGCGTGCCCCACGTGCCGGACACCCGTTCGATTCAATGCCGGAGCTTCGCTACATGATCCCATACACAATTCCTGTGGAATTCACACCACCAATACTCTCACCGCTTTATAGCTCTCGTAAGTTTTTCGTTTTTAAGCCTTTTAGAAACCATGTAACTTAATTTATTTATTTTTTAAAAATTTTCACTGTGTATAATATGAACTGCGACAAAGGTTGTTTTTGGCCCATCTCGGAAGTTAATTCACGAATATTTCCCTCGCTCTTTACTTCCAATAATAGGATAATCTTACCTTTGTTTGCTGATACGAACTCTGTTCACCGTGGAAAGTTTCACTGTTGTTAGTGATGTCTACCTCGTTGAGCCTAGTTTAGTCTTCATATACTCAAGTGGGAGTTTGATAGTTGATCGCATTCGTTGTTTACTTCAACTTGCAGGCGCGTTATAATTTCGGCCATGGCTACACGCCTACACCTGATCAATCATCTTCAGTAATTGCATATGAAATTTGGGAAAGAAAATTGTTAACTTCTTCATGGATGGATGCTTATAGAGTTGGCGATATCCTAAAGTATATTACTCTTTCAAGGTTGGCCTCTGTTTCATTTTTCTTTTCTGAAAGTAATCGAAAGATTATTTCACCAAGAAAAATGCGATTGATTTTTGAAAAGAAGTTTACCTTAACACTTTTTTGCTTTCCAGCCTAAAGAGAGGTTGGAATTGGAAAGGAGAAAACAGGGGTTGCAATACCCTCATTGAATAATACATCTTGTCCTTGCATGATGCAAGCTGAGTCTAAGTCACATAGATCGTTATTTAGGGTTGTAATTTTAATTTATATGCGCAAAAGTTACTGTCACCCAGCGTTTAAATTGCAGTTTGTAACCGCAATCTTAAAGTTTTGGAGGTGTTTGCAACTTCATTGTGTCATTAGCTACATTTGCCTGCAATGTTTACATAATTCCCTCGCATCTTTTTTGCTAATCTTTAGTGTGGAGGGATGTTCTGTTCTGTCGTCCAACCAAAGATAATACGTGAACTAGTGCGTGCTTAGAATTATGGGTAAATTACACCGATAACTTCTCTAATTTCTTGAAATTTCACAAAGATATTATTGCTTGTTTAAAACCTACTGTAACTATTCTTATAGGGTACATGTCCTAATGTATTTTTAAGTAATTGGTGTAATGTGCTTCAAACCATTAAGGGAATTATTGCAATTCTTGAAAAGGCATGAGTATCATGTGAAATTTGAAGATACCATGTGGGTGTATCATTGTATTTAGCCTTAGATTTTTATGCTTAATAGAAGGGGCATGTGATGGAATCGTCATTTTGGTGACAATGGCAACTTTATTTACTTCGGGCATCCAGAACAAAAGATCATGCAATTATTAGTATGGTATGGTACGATGCAACTGAGAATTATCCTCTCCGGACTCTGGATGTGACCCATTGGAAGGTGGTAAGGCATACATTCCGTGATTCGTTTGGCTTGAGGAGGTGATTATAGTCTTCTTCCTTGCTTCATTATTTTGCTGGTTGGCAATTGCGTGTGTTAATAATTGAACAAAAAAAGTGAATCTAATTCACTCTTTTGTTTTTCCTGGTTTGCGACATATTTTTTTATTTAAATTAAGGTGGGGATGCAATCTCGTGTTTCATTATGTTCTCATTCTATGTTTCCTTCTTTTATATGACTGGTTGAGTTCTTATTTATTTTTTTTTGGTTCATTACCAAGGAGTCCCTATCAAATACCGGGACAATTTCTCTTGAGAGTTTGACAGACATTAAATAAATGGACATCTCTTTTTAATTATTTGATGTGACCCAAGTTGACATTTGGTACTAATGAGTTTTAATTTCCAGTGGTTGGGGTTCTTTTATCCCTTCATTTTAAATAAATTACATATGGGACATTAAGTTACGAGTATGCATGCATTTTTATTAATATTTTTTTTTTATAACTATGTATTAATACAAAATATTTATTGTCAAAAAGAGTGACTATTTTTTGTTGAAGGATGTGAGTGTATATGAAATAAATATTTTTCTTTTAATAATTTGTTTCATATGTAAGATCAGGTTTTAACTTCTGAAGAATTTAGTTAAGGAATTAGTCGCGTAACATGCATGCATTATTTAATGTGTATATAGATGATTCTAATATACTTTAGATGCGAGGTGATGTGTATAAGTAGAACATTTTTCATTGGTTATTATGAAGAAGCAAGTCGTGTACCAGTACCATTTTATATTAGGCAGCTTTATTATTTGTGGGATAAGTTTGGTCTTGGACACAGTAGCGAGAATTTGCTAACAGGTCAAGATGGCGCACCGTGAGACACCATTGATACATTGTTGGTTGGCTCCTCAAGGGTTATTTGTAACTTAGTTAAATTGGAAAGCTACAAGTTTACCGGGATTTTTTCTTGATTGAATTTTTTATCTGAAATTTTTTCCGGTTAACATCTCTTATGTAAATCTCATTTTTTTTACTATTTAAATTTTCTCTTTTTAGTTTTTAATTGAGGATTGAAACTAGACAAAAATGTTATGAGAAAATCTAATCTCAATTGGAAAAAACACGTTTTGGTGGATGATATCTATTCTATGGGTCTTGTTCCTAATTGTTTTTGTGGTCTGTTACAAAGTAAAAACGGGCCGTGTCATAGGTTTAAGGCATTTCATCAAATATAAAATCGAGACAAGAATTCGCAAGGTTTTGCGTCAAGGAAGTTGCTATGGCGCTTTCTTTGTTATATGTACACAAACTCTACCCTTGTACCGACCCTCACAGTCAAGTGCACCATTTATAGTCATCGATTGCTGTTGTTTTCACGTGGTTGAATTGCTCTTTTAATATTTTTTTTTTAGTAAATTATACTCATATCTCTCGAATTTTCTTGAGATTGCACGTATTTGTTTGTTAACAATTAAAGCAACTCCTACATTATTGTGCCTTCGTTTTTAATCTTTTGCTGTTCTAACTGATATGTCTTCTACCGTGTTTTCGTGCTGTTTTTAAGTTTGTCTGTGGGGCTCTAGCTCCTTTCATTCAAGAGAGAGAGAAGCAACTCCTACGGGTTTATACTAAAAAAATTAAAGGGTGTATAATGTAATGTTTTGTAAAAGAAGTGAATGTATGACAGTGAATGAATAGAAAACAGAGGGTAACGGGAAAAAAATTGATGAAACTTAAGGAACTATTAGCATAATCGTGTATAATGTAAGGTTTTTTAATTTTTAATTTTAAATTATTTTAATGCCATAAAAAAGTTGAGATAAAAATAATTGTCGAAGTTAACAATAATTTGAGTTACAAGACTTAAAAGTTTAAGTATACTAATATGGATTTAGACGAGTGGTGGTGAACTTCGTTTAACCAAATAATTAAATATTAAATATTGACCTTTATAAATATAGAAAACTCAAATGAAAAAAAGATGTTAATCTCCTTAGTGTCTCTCAAATTCTTAAGAGATAATTTTTTGCGTTTGACAAGAGAATATTTCTTAATAACAAATCAACTAAAAAAAACTTATTTATTTAGGTTAATTTAATAATTATTGGAGATGCATGACAACATGGAAATTTAAGTTTAACATTTATAATTTGTCTTAAAATGTTGAAATTTTAAATTATGTAATAAGTTTTTTAAAATCGACTTATGTATTTTATTAATTTTGAAATTTTGAAATTTAATTTCTCTTAAAATTGAGATATGTAAATTTATCTGATAGAGATGATAAAGAGAAGAATTTTAATTGGGAAGCAAGCAAGGCATGATAGGGCGCGGCATAGAAGGGGTTTGATGATCGAGAGAGTGAGAGTGAGAGAGAATGGATGAATCAAGTGATGTGTGGGGGTGGTGTGTTTCCGTTGTCCCATTGAAGATTATAGTGGAGTCCGTAAAGATCATTGCGTGGAAGAAATTGGTGTTCGCATCCATCATGCTCCTGACCACCCTCCCTCTCTCCACACTCGTAATCTCCGAATCCATCTCCACCCACTCCCTCTCCTCCCAAATCCACCACCTCGAGGCCCTCGCCCGCTTTGCCCCCACACGCTTCGAGGCCCGCCACGTCTGGCACCAGTCTCGCCACGACGCCCTCTCCCTCCTCCGCACCAGGGCACTCTTCTCCCTCCCCTCCTACCTCCTCTCCCTCGCCGCTGCCCTCTCCGCCGTCCATTCCACCCTCCTCGCCCTC